ATACGCCGCTGCTCTACCACCTGAGCTATCGTGACCTCGATCCACTCGGACATCAACTCCCCATCTCAACCTCACCTTATGAGTTTTCCCTCCTTTTGCCATTTTTCAAATGTCGTGTAATCGGTTTGGATTCTCGACGACAATTGAAATGGCGAGGGAGAGCTTTAGTGAAGTGTACTTCATTTTAATTCATTAAATTCACTAATTTCGTGGTCCGCTTGACCAATTAATACTTTACAATTAAGTAAGGTTTTTAGTTGAGATGAAAAAAAGTTAATGGCACGAAAGGGATCCCTCCAAACCGATTACACGACATTTGAAAAATGGCAGAAGGAGGGAAGGCTCATAAGGTGGGGTTGAGATGGGGAGTTGATGTCCGAGTGGATCGAGGTCACGATAGCTCAGGTGGTAGAGCAGCGGCGTATCTAGCGGAAGGTCGTGGGTTCGAATCCCTCTCGTGCCATTAAATTTTTTTCATCTCAACTAAAAACCTTAATTAATTGTAAAGTGATTATTGATTTCAAAAATTATAGACTAATAAAAAGAAATGAGCTTTACATGTTTAACGCTTAATGACGTCAGACTTGTATTTTTATAAAGTATGTACATATTTTAAGACAATTTGTAGCTTAAATATGGAGAACCTGTTTAATGTGGTTGGTCAAAACAACTTTTAATATTTCAATTTAAATATGGCGTTTAAAAATACACTAAAGGGCTTAGCTCATCTAAATTGTCTCGGTGAGTAAATTTTGCCAGGCAGGTTTAAATAATTTGTTTTTCTTTATACATAAATAATATTGAATTAGACAATTTAAAAGGATCGAATTGCCGAGCCTCAAGTGTTTTTTTCCTCCGACCAGCTTTGACTTAAAGTTCGACATCTCTGATAAAGTTTTTCTCTCACTTTCTCACTCTCTCATCCAAGGAGCGTCAAGGGTTTAATCAAATTCCCCTGACAGGAGACTCAAAGTGCATTATCTAATTAAGATCGGTGGCGGAAGGCTGGATTAACGAAATCCACTCTAGAGGTTAATCTATTTCTGAAGCCCGACGATTTGAAAATCCTTGCGACAACAATTTTTCGATATTAGTCGAGACAGACCCGTAATTAACTCAAGAAAAAAACAATCACTGAAACTAAATCATTAATAAAGCATCAACAATTTACAATATAATAATAATAAATAGGGCGTAGGTGGCCGCAACGGTTTAGGAGATGCCACAGAGCTCATCACTGTAAAGGTCCCGGGTTCGAATCCAACGCCCCTGCATTCGAACACTTACTTACAAATGGGCTTTTTTTTTGCAAAAACACCGGCACCCCGAGGGTTGATATAACCTCTGCTGTTGCTAACCTCGTAAAAATAATAATAATAATTTTTTTAGTTTATAATCATATTGACAAAAGATGGATAATCGCATCATCTTACATAAACATAAATGTTGCCCAATTACCAACTTTCCCTGGATTATATCATGATCATCAGGACATTACAAAGCTAAAATAATATAATTAAAAGTGTCTAAAACGCAAAACAAATTTCAGAAATGGTCAATAATTAATTAGAGTCTGTTGAGTCAACTAAATCAATAGAATGTGCTGCTGAATATTGTTATTATGACGGTTTACCGTTAAATTTCAAACTTTTTTTCTGTGTTATAACAAAGACCATTTTAAAGGTTTTCCACCATGTCGTTAAATATTCAAAACATATTTTAGAAATAAAATTCGACGTGTGAAAATTTACCAGAGGAAAAAATAATTCAGAGGCGGAAATAAATGTACTGATACTTTACACCATTCGGGCAGTAAATATGCAAAACCTATTGCGTACATACGCCATTAAAAATATTTTGAAAAGTTAATACAAAAACGAAAGGAAAGCCCTAAACACAAAGGATGCATTTTATCTCGATAAACCGATTAAAATCTTGTTTTGTAATTCAACAGCATTGATCAATATATTTGAAGGGAAAAATCAATAAAATTATGAGAAATGTATAACGGTAGTAAATACAATTGTTGACCTTTTTTATTATGTCTGGTTTAGACCAATTTTAACCGTATGCTAGTAGATGATGATGGGTGTGGGTCTGAGAGTTGGTGAACTCATGCTGAACACTTATTGGGTTCGTCTTCCATCAGGGTTTTGTTGAATTGCTCAAACTCGTTTCGACACTGCGCCATCTTCAGTGAGGAACTGTCTGTCCTTTTGTTTCAGTAGGGTTTATAAGCCATTGGGTCTGTCGGTTGTCACTAGGGGCCTTGTCACGGTGTTTCTTTGATAAGCCATCTTCAGTGCGGAACTGTCTGTCCTTTTGTTAGAGTAGGGTTTGTATGCCATTAAGTCAGTCGGTTGCCATGGTGTTCCTTTGATACAAAACGTACAAAAAGGTCGAAAACTCAACGTGGGGTGTACCTAATGATATACAAACAAACAACACTTAAAGCCTGAAAATAAATGTACACTCAAACTCACATTCGCACACTAATTTCACACCATTAAAAATACTACCCATAAAAAACGCAAATTTTCAGAAGAAAAACTAAAAGCAATACAACAAAAAAGTAACAAGGCACTAATAACGCCTGACCACGAAAATAACCGACCGATGAACCACCTCAAACGCCCCTGGCGACAACCGACGGACCCAATGACATATGAATCCTACTCGGACCAATTGAGAAACAGTTCCTCACTGAAGATGGCGCAATGCCGAAACGAGTTTGAGTGATTCAACAAAACCGTGAGCGAAGACTGACCCAAGAAGTGACCCTATGCCGGTTCAACTTATGCTGGTATCTTCAGGATTTTCTTGTTTACACCAAATTTTTTACTTAATAGTTAAAAACGAATACATGAATACCAATTGAAATTATATATATGTGGAAAAGTTGTTCCATG